TATTATACTATCAATTTTTTGAAATGCTCGGGACGTCGGGACATAGAGCGATTGGCAGAAACGAATTTTAAAATTGCTGAGTCATTACTTTATTATACTATCAATTTTTTGAAATGCTCGGGACGTCGGGACATAGAGCGATTGGCTGAAACGAATTTTAAAATTGCTGAGTCATTATTTTATTATACTATCAATTTTTTGAAACGCTCGGGACGTCGGAACATAGAGCGATTGGTTGAAACGAATTTTGAAATTGCTGAGTCATTAAATAAAAAAATTCAACATTAATTATCTTAAGACTCATGGTATAATGTTTGCTTGTTTATTGATTCCAAAGTCAACTGAATTCTCAAGTCAACTGTGACATTTACAGTATCGAAATACTATTAATACTACACTGTATAACGATGTTAGCAATTATATTTCACACTTACCTCAATTTTAAATTACTTTAACACTTTACTTTCGTTAGAAAAAAAGCATAAATGACTTACCTAAAGTTTCTTTATTTGATGCTGTTGCAGTCAGATGCATTTCATTTATAGATGATGCCGATGGTCCATCGTCATTATCATCAACTTGAATCAAATGTACAACATATGAGCCATTAGGATGATCTAATGAATTGCTTTTTACACGAAATTGTGTACCCATTCGTAAAATAATTTCATCTTCATTTTCATATTCTGTATAACCAGAAACTCTTTTTCCATTAACAGCTTCAATTAAAAAAAGAGTTGAATTTTTATTGTTACCGAGAAAAGTTTTGATAACATCAACTGATGATGAACATGAATTGACACTCCACCATGTCACAAGTTGATTTTTGGTGAAATTCTTGCCAATATCAAGAGGAACACCTCGCCATAAAATTTCCTTGACGGTTGGTAATTGGTCCAATGCTGTATCAAATAATTTTAAATATGGAAACCATATTGTTAATGCTTGTCGATTTTCTGATCGTAATGCTTTATTTAATACACGATATAAAGTGGTATCACCCCATTCCATTGTATAAATATAAACAGCAGCTGATTGATCTTTTGATAGTCCATGTTCTGATGGAAAATGACAATTTTTTTTAGCTATTTTAATATAATATGGTAATTCATCAATTTGAGGCTCGATTGGTTCAAGTGCTTTGTCAATTGAAACAAGTTTTTCACTACGATAACCATAAACAGGTGGAAGTCTTTTAAATGAAGCATCGATATCACCAAAACGATTCATCTTTATTTAATATGTTGTTAAACGTTGATAAAATTCTAATAGCTACAAATTTGAAGCAACAATTTCCGGCGATGCAATGTATTTATTCTTCGATATGAAAATCTATCAGATTGAACGAAGTATTTTTCTTGTGTTGATTTTAACTTCTGCTTTCTTCTTGCAAAAAACGAATAAAATGAATATTTTCTTTTAATGGTATTTTGTTTTTATTACCAACTAATTATTAGTTGAAGTAAAACGAATAAGATTGAATGTGTTTTTTTGTTATTCAAGGTAGAAGAATTCTTTTTTCTTTTCATCCTATTCAAACATTAGTCTTCTGTATGATGAAGTGTAATTTAAAGCTGCACAAAAGAATACTGTCGTTGCAATAGGAACGAAAGAAAAACATTTTCTCATTCAGTAAAAGACGAACATATCTAAAAAAAACATTTCATGAAATACAAATCAGTTGAAACATTAACAAATTCATAAGAATAATAAAAAAAACTTTTTTTAATTTTATTATGAATTTCAAGAAGAAAAAAAAATTACCAACATTTTTTCTTTTTGGATATATCATATTCTAATTGTCTGTAAAAGAATTG